TTTTTTTTTTTTTTTTTTGTAAAAAGTCACTTTTTTTTTTGTGTCACTTATTTAAACCTTTTTCCTTTACTTATTTGATTATTTATTTAGAAATTTCGTTCTTTTTTGTTTCCAATCAATTAATATAGCTTGTGAAAAATATATCTAAAACTCGTGACACCGGTTATAGGTTAGATGTATATTTTATCTTATCTAGCGACATAAACTGAAAAGCTTGAGATGATGGGATCAATAATGTACTGGTCCTTGTAAATTTGGAAGTATGTCGGCCAAAAAATATCTTTTGATTATGATATATTAAGCTCAGTTTTCTTTGTACCAGCAAAATTGCTAAAAATGATCAAATTTTTTGATCATTAATCAATATCTAACTTAAATGTGATGTTTCCGTTCAGCTCAATTAAAAAGGAATAGGCCAGGCTAGAAAAGAAATGGTGACATCAGAAGAAGAAGAAAATAAAAATGATGACCAAAGTGTGATCATGAATCTTGATCCTACGAGTCCCAACACTATATATACGACAAATGAAGTTTTAACTCATGGTGTGACTTTGTGTTTAAAAAAAAAAAAACTCATGGTGTGCCTAGATATTTGTTTGTATTGCTTCTACAGTCTACTTACTATTCATTTGTCACATACATCAGAGTAAATTTTAAACGTGTCAAAAATAAATCGTAGAGCCAGCAATCAGATCTAAGTGGATTGCTTCGAATCCTATATTAACTCTGAATTACTCTTGAGTGCTGACAAGTAGATAATGCCAAAGAAAATGATGTAAAAGGCCAATAATGGACTGTAATAAGGGCGTGGTTCGTAGTACTATCTTCTTTCCCCAGGCTACACGAGTGACTACTCAAGTGCATCGTATCTTTTATATGTACACGTAAACTATTTATAAGTCTATTATAAATGTACAAATGTATAGTATTTTATACACTGTGCGTAAGTAAATACGTATGGCTCGTGTGGTGGTCCCCGCAGAAACCAAAGGTAGAGCCGTGTGGAGGGACCTCCCCCAAGTAAGACGAGCATCACACGGTATCAGATCCCTTGTCACTTTCTTGAATTCAGTGGCGCCCTTTATTCCAAAGGAACCTCCCCTAAATAGATACAGAACTAACCACAAGATTTTTTTTTTATAAAAGCTGGTTGAATCTTCTTTTGATTATTGACAAAGAAAATGATATAGACTTTGAAACGCGTAATGACTTGTTCTTCTAGTACAGCCAAACAATTGTGGTGTCTATGTATTTGCTGCGCAAAAGATACTTATACTTTTTAGCTGAATATTTTATTAAAACATTTTTTGACAGAAGTTTCAAATTATCAGCTTATTGTAGTTGTAAAGTTTCAAGGGTGGGTTTATGGTTCTGTAGCCATTCCGAATTCAAAGCTTCTAATGACCATATTTTGTAATATTTCATCAATTTCTTAACAAAGTGGACATTCTTTTTTTAGTCTTTGAAAATTCAGAACCATTATACAAGCCATGATCCATGATGCCAATATACGAAAACAATAGTGAAAGCTTTTGATTAGTGACATTAAACTGTGACTGTTGGCTGGTGACCCAAAAAATAGTTTTGTTGGCATATTTTTTTTCTTAAGTAAATACCAGTGAATAATTTGTTAGTCCGTTCAAATAATTTTATTCTTTGTAATTAACATTATATGTATAGATAGATATGCAAGGGTAGACGACAATTATGGTTGTTTAACTTTTTAAAAAACATTTAGAAATTTAATGAATTAAAATAAACTCTAGCATTTTTAAAAAAGTTGTTAGGTTTTCTATCCTTCTCTTATAACTAAAATCTGGTTTGGACTGTATACATGTTGAATGAATGTATCTTGGCATCATAATCAGATCAACTACATCCACTTTCAAAAACAACCAGTTGATGTAATTCTTAGCTACCTTTTAATACTAGTTTCGAGCTAGCTAGCTGTAATCTACACAAAGTTCCTTGCATTTGAATTTAAAATGCCCTTTTGCATTTAAACTATACTCGGTTTGTATTCATAAACTTCAAAAAAGTTTTAATAGCTATGACTTTTGAGTCTATGACAGCTCAAACAGAAAAATATTAAAAACTATGAAATGTACCTATCCAATTTAATTTATTTTTCAAGATTCATATATGTATATAGTCATTAAAACCTTATGCAAATGCGCATGGACGAGCATGTCTCTCCGTAAGATTTAAGTTTAAAAACTTCTTTTAAATAACAAGTTTATCGGCTAAGCATCGCTTAAATTTAATACACGTTATGGAGACTATACCACGTCACCATTCGAAGCACCTTATTACAAGCTGTCAAAGACCCTTATCACCCATTCAACTCCTTCCACGTGGCACTTTCGGACAGTGACACATACGCTACGACAGCTGTCTCACTCGTCTACGTTCGGTATAAATAACCTCTGCCATCACACTTCAATCTCATAAACCTCAAACAAAAACCTCAATGGCTTATAATTACCGTTTTGCCATCTTCCTCACCGTCCTCGCCGCCATCTCCGGTCTTTCCTCCGCCGCGTTGGTCAAAGAGCAGCCGCTTGTTTTAAAATACCACAACGGCGCTCTCTTGAAAGGAAACATCACCGTTAACCTCGTTTGGTACGGACACTTCACACCCATCCAACGGTCCATAATCGTCGACTTCATCCGCTCACTCAACTCCAAAGAAACCGCAACCTCCTCCGCAACCACCGCTCCCACCGTCGCGTCGTGGTGGAAGACGACGGAGAAATACAAAGGAGGAACGTCAAAGCTCGTCGTCGGGAAACAGCTTCTCCTCGAGAGCTACCCTCTCGGAAAATCTTTAAAGAATCCTCACCTACGTGTTTTATCCACAAAACTTAACGGCGGAATACGTTCTATAACCGTCGTTTTAACGGCGAAAGACGTTTCCGTCGAGGGGTTTTGTACGAACCGATGCGGGTCCCACGGATCTAACGGCGCCGCTTACGTCTGGGTGGGTAACTCAGAGACGATGTGTCCTGGATACTGCGCGTGGCCGTTTCACCAGCCCATTTACGGCCCACAAGGCCCGCCGTTAGTTGCGCCTAACGGTGACGTGGGAGTTGACGGGATGATTATAAACCTCGCTACGCTGCTCGCTAACACCGTCACGAATCCGTTTAAGAACGGGTATTTCCAGGGCCCACCAGCTGCTCCACTTGAAGCTGTCTCCGCTTGTACCGGCATGTTCGGGTCGGGTTCGTATCCTGGTTACGCGGGTCAAGTACTCGTTGATAAGACAACTGGGTCTAGTTACAACGCTCGTGGGCTCGCGGGAAGGAAATATCTATTGCCGGCTATGTGGGATCCACAGACTTCAACGTGCAAGACTCTGGTTTGATCCGAGGGATGTGAGTAAGACACGTGGCTTAGTTCTGAAAGCAAATGAGGAGATCTAGATGTATAATATATGCTTTCGGGTTTGGATTGTGGATAGGGGCTCTTTGCTTTTGTCGTTTTGTGTTATGAGTGTAGATTATGTTATCGTAAAGGTGAAGATATAATATGCATATAAAATAAAATGATTTTGTTTCTACTTTTATAAAATTTATCGCACTAACATAATGAATTTTAATGATCGAAACTTATAATACTAATTTTATATTTAAAGGAATCTAGCTTTTTATTTAGTGGGTAGAAAGATAATAATGAGAACCTAGATTATAATAATATTTGTTTGTTTGGATAACAATACAAAGGAAGATGGGCGTATAAATTAGGCTTCTCTCGGTGATGTTGGGGTCTAGGAGACCAAATCGATTGCTTAGTTAAATACTCGCTTTATACTACTTAAGTTTTGTTTAATAAACAAAACAAAAATACTACTTTAGTGTTGTTGCATTTGATGCACTAATAAGATAGTATTTGCTATTACAAATCTCACATTATTTGTAATACAATATTGATTAAAATTTTTTTATTCAGTTATAGATATTTCCTGGTCAGTGGGTTTGGTGAAGTTCTCCACTGCTTCCGTTCTTTATGCCAAAAGGAGTTTTTTTTTTAACATTTAAGTACTCTTTATTGATTTTATTGATTTTGGGTTCATTTCATTAGCTGCAGGTTCAGGAGATAAAACGTAGAAGCAGCAATGCTCGAAATAAAACTGAATCTTTGGCCTTTTGACATTCAGTGTTTGGTTTACTCGGTTTAGAAGAAATGTGGATAAAATTGTGATGAACATACAACGTTGGTTTAGTAATTGCTAAACTCCAGTTAAGTTTGAGTAATAACAAGATGTGTCGGTACAAAGTAAAACCGAACTTCAGTGTAGTCTGAACTTCTCAGACCACTTCTAGTAGAGACCCAAGAACTTCCACCAGACAGATCCAACAGATCCCCAAATGACTGCTTGTAATAAAGTCATCACGAACCCGAGTCTAAACATATCTTTCAGATCAACGTAGCCAGCTGCGAATCCAAAATAAAAATATGTAAGAGAATATTATATAAATGTTCAATGACTTAAGAAAAAAATGAGACAACTAGACAAGAGAAAGAGAACAAACCTCCATAGTATAAAGCAGCTGGTCCACTACTATAATGAGCCAATGCACCAGAAAGAACGTTATTGAAAGCCAAGCAAAGAGCTGCTAAAACCCCGGGAACACCAGCAGCAATATGCATGGCCAAGAAAGCTGGATAGAGAGCACCGGCTTGAGCCGTTTGGCTTGCGAACACGTAATGGAGCATGAGATAAGAAGCCTGAAGGATAACTAACGAAGCAGGCCAAGTCAGGGAGAGTGATTGTAGCACCTTAGCCACACAATCCGACATCCAAGCGACGACCCCTAGGTTTGTTAGTTGTCCAGCCATACCGATCAAAACGGCAAACCAAGTCAGCGAGTCCCAAGCTGACTTGTCGCTTAGACAATCATTCCAGTTTATGACTCCCAATAGTAGTAACGTTGATAGACCAATCATCGCGGATACAACACTAGATACTCCTATTGCTTCTCTACAATGTAGTTATGAACCAACGTAACTAGATTGTACATACATTGTGTAGTTTTAGATGATACTGATGCTTACCCGAAAACCCAAAGAGAGACGGTGAAGGCCATTGCACCAAGCATGATCCATTCATTTTTAGTGATGGGACCTAACCGTTCCAGCTTCTTTGCAGCTTCAGCAGGAGCTTCCGGTGTGTGTTTCAGCTCAGGAGGGTAAAGCTTGTAGATGATGAGAGGTGTGCAAAGAAGGGACGCAAAGGCAGGAACACTCGCGGCTTTAAACCAAGAGACCCATGGGTTTGTGAGAACCACACCAACTTCTCTAGCTAGTTTGAGACATAGCAAGTTTTGTGCAGCTGATGTGAGGAGAAGCGCACCAGAAGTCCCTGCACACTATCACAGATTACAGAAACCCCATTAACTAAAGTCACCACTAGTCCACCCCAAACCGAATCCCCGATATTAACCCGAACCGAAAAAAACCGAAACACCTTCCGAACCCTTACAGAAAAATTATCTGAATGAGATTTAAGAGCTTGGTATTTTCGAATTCGGGCACAACTCGAACCGAACTCAAATCCGAACTATAGCATAAAATATCTGAAATTAATTAAAATCAATAATTTAGAATATTTTGAAGACTTTTATCTTTTTTTATTTATTTATTATTTTGAATACTTTTTAGTTAGTTTAGATAATTTAACTAATTTTAATTTGATTTATAATTTATTTATATTTTTGAGTATTCTTATTATTTTATTAAATTTTTTGAAAAACAGTTTTGCGTAATTTTAGACATTGGTTATTAGCCGACTCGAACACAACCCAACTAAAAAATTAGACCTGAATGGGACTTCGGAATATAATATCAAAAATTCGAAAACCCGAATCAACCGAAGCTAATCTGACAGCCCCAACCAAACCTAATCTACAGCCCCAAACGCCCCAAACAAACCTAATCCACACCCCCAAATGCCTAACCTAGTCATCAAAAGTCTGAAAATAAACCAAGCTTTTACCTGCAATTGAGTCTGAATCAAAAAAGCACCAAGTTTCCTCGAAGACGAGTCACCAGGTTTACTCCCGGCAGAGAGAGACAAAGACTTAATCACAGGCAAGAAAACCCCACCCGCTCTAGCCATCGTAGACGGCATTATCAAACCCATAAACGTTTCACATAACACTAAACCATACGACAAACCAAGAGTGCTTCTCCCAAGCCACTTCACGAAGTAAGTAGCGATCCTGTCTCCAAGACCCGTCTTTATAAACCCACGAGCGAAGAAGAACGAGATGGCGATAAGCCAAATAAGCTCATTGGTGAAAGCCGCGAAAGCCGTTGAGAAAGAAAGCGTTTTGGTGACGATGGAAGCGGTTAGGCCGATAAAGGCCCATGCCCCGACGGGAAGTGGGCCGAGTACGAGGCCTGAGATGGTGGAGAGGAAGATTGAGAGTAGTTGCCATCCTTGTGACGTCACTTGTTCGGGTCTTGGGATTAAGAAGCGGACGATGAGACCTATTGAGATGGAGATTGCGAGAGGTGTTAACTTAGCTCCTTGAGGGTTGCTCTGTGTCTCCGGGGAGGCGGTGGCGCGTGGAGCGAGTCGAGGAGAGGAGATGGAGAGTGATGGGACGGTTGTGGATGAGGTGTGAAGGGAGATCGAAGGGTGAGGAAGTGAGAATGATGAACGGTGGAGAGAGAGATGGGAGAGTGATGAAGAAGCGGTGGTTGAGAGGGAACGGAGAGCGAAACTATTCATCTTTTGTAGTGTTAAATTCTCAGTTGTCTCTGGACAAGGAGGGAGATTGAGTTTATTTATTTTATTATTATTATTATTTTATTTTCAGTTAGATATTTACTTACAAACGAATCTTGATTGTCATGTCTGAACGACACAAATGGAATATGACAGTGACGTTTGTGGAGGTAAACTTGCATCTGAGTTATTATTGCAAGTTAATACTTTCATGTTCCTCAGTTTTTTTTTTCTATCCCATAAATTTTCTTCTAACAAAACACCCCCCAGATCAACTCTGTAATCTGTATCTTTGTTTTCTCAAATAATACGATATTTCATAAGATAAACGAGTGGAGACTAAACTCTGTATATCTATGTGAGAAAGATTGTCTGATTCTCTAAATGCAAATGGTTGCAATTTTTGATAAAAACTCTCTTAATGGAGACTTCAAAAACATGAATGTCAAAGACATTGTTTACAAAAAGAGAGAGGGAGAGAGTGCAAAGCACCAAAAGAATTGGTGTTGTAAGCTAAAGCAAGTGCAACTATATATATTTATAGCTAAGAAAGCTGAGAAGAGAAGCTCCTATGTGACCTGTTTGGCTTGCAAAAAGATAGTGAATAAAATAGTAAGTTGCTTGGAGAAGTCCAAATGCATTCTGGCCAGCTCAACTTGAGAGATTGGACAGCTTTGGCTACACAATCAGACATCCATGTTACAACACCGAGATCTGTGAGATGTCCTGCCAGTGTCATGCCCATCAAGACAGCAAACCAAGTCTAATCTTTATCTGATTATTTTACAACTTGAGTAGTTGTAGGCCTGGGAGTTTTGTCCGAATCGAATGGACCGAACCGGACCAAACCGTTTTTTGTTCGGTTTTCGGTTTGGTTTTACAATTCGGTTCAATTTGGTATTGGTTTTAAAATTAATTCGCTTTTCGGTTCGGTTTTCGATTTTTTTAAAAGATATTAAAAACTGAAAATAACCGAAAAACTGAACCGAAAATAACCGAATAACCCAAAATAACCGAATTTAACCAAAATAACCGAAAATATCTGAATATTTTGGAAAAATTATACTAAAGTTAACCAAAACTTAAAAATTCGGTTATTTTTGAAAATAAAATTAAAAACCGAAATAAACCGATAACCGAACCGAATCGAAATTTCATTCGGTTTATTTCAGAATTGTTTTTAAAATCTTCGACGTTTCGGTTCGGTTTCGGAAAACCGAAGTCACATGCGCAAGTAGTTGTATTGATTTGTGAAACTGTGAAAAGAGGAATCGTTTAAAACTTGTAAATGTGCAAACTGATTGCTAATAAAATTATTTACTTTACAAATTGTAAAACATAATTAAAAGCATCATTAATGATAACATAGTAAAAAGAAAAGAAACAGAGTGTAATTGACGCTTTAACTTTTAATTATGGAAGAAATATTAAAAAAATAATTAAGCATAACGGCCAAATTTTCTTTTCCCATCACGCGTCAATATTACTACCACGTGTACGGTCACGATTTTAAGCAACATCTGTCATATAGCCGTTAGCGCCGTAGTCAAGGGACCGCGTTTTTTTTTTCTCTTTTACACTAATAAAATGAAATCTAAGCCGTTGGATTAAAAATCGGTCTACAGATTCACCATACACCGCAAAGCAGTAGATCCTACATTTCTCTCTATATAAACACTCGTCTCCTAGTTTCTAACATCACAAAGCAATCTAAACAAAACACTCATAGAAACAAAAGCTTATTAAGACAGCAAAGTTCGAACATCTCAAGTCTTGTAATGGCTTTCTCAAAATCTCTAGGGTTCATTCTTCTCGCTGCCTTTTTCATTTCTTTCACGGTGGCTCAATCTCCGGCTCCAGCTCCATCTAACGGCGGAGGAAGACGGATCTCACCGGCGCATTCACCAGCTGTCTCTCCTTCTCCTCAAACTGCATTGACTCCAGAATCATCTGCCTCTCCTCCATCGCCGCCTTCGGTGGATTCTCCTTTAGCTGATTCTCCTTCTGATTTATCAGCTGTTTCTCCCTCTTCGATCTCTAACTCGCCGGCTCAAGCTCCCGCTCCTGTAAGCGGCGCCGTTTCGAAGAGCTACGCGGTGTTTGGATCTGTTGCTGTTATGTTATCCGCTGCCGTTTTGGCTATGTAGGTTCGAGGAATGAGACTTTTTGGTATTTATTCATTTGAGATATATATGAGCTTTTGCAGAGAGATGATTCTTTATTTTTTTTGTTGTTCTTTTATTTTTATTTTAATCAGATTACTATTTGTTTCTCTTTTTTGGCTCCATCCATATTAATATATGATTTTATCAGATTCCAATACTTTTATTTAATATATCTAAATTCCAACTATGAAATAAAATCATGATCTGCAAATTTGCAATACAACAAGGTGCAATCATAAAAAAAAAAAACAAAAGGCGTAATTTAATTAAAGAAAAGTGTTACATGCGGAAATCAGTGGCCATCATCTTTGCGTATATTTACATGTATGTCAATAATGTAAAGTCAAAAGACTTGAGATATGTAATATTCAAGAAAAATACGGTAACATGCCTAAATCAATTGTCATAATAATTTTGCGTATAAACATACGGTATTTTATATATTTCTACTAGTAAGTATAATTAGCCCAATGAGAAAATACAGGATAACTACAATATAACAACGATTTTTCATTAAACATGTGCTCTAAGGCCTTAAATAGTAGCCCAATGGAATTGTAATGAATGACAACTATAATGTTGGTGACAAAGAGAAAAACAATACACACATACAATGAATTAACTGAACAAGCTTCTCTCTTAATCATTTAGGATTCAGAGAACAACTTCATAAATTCTCTGTCTATCTAATGTTTCTTGAGGAACAAGACTCCTCAACAAAATGGACCAACTTCTACAATTCGGAACAAACCCTTCTTCAATACCTTCTTCCAGAAGAAAACAAGCATCCTCAACAAAACCTCCTTTACATAACCAACTCATCAAAGTATTATACGTCACCGTATCAGGCGTTATCCCTTCATCCCGAAGCTTCTTAAACATAGCCACACCATCTCCAATCCTACCAGCCCTACACAGACCATTAATCAAACTATTAAACGTCACAATGTCCGGTGTTATTCCTCTATGAACCATCTCTTTCTGGAACTCAACCGCTTCTTCCACCTTCCCGTTTCTACATAACCCGTTTATAAGTATGTTACAGGAGATGTTGCTTGGTACAAGTCCATCTCTTAACATCTTCTCAAACAAGCTTCTCGCCTTATCAACCTCCCCTGCTCTGCAGAGACCTTCTATCAAACCATTGTAGGTTATCTCATCAAGAGGTGACCCCTGGAAAACCATCTCATTAACTAACTTACGAGCTTCTTTGATCTCACCTCTTCTTAAAAACGCCTTGATCAGAGTATTGTAAGTAACTGTGTTGGCAACAACACCTTCTGATATCATGTCTCTATGTAACCACAAAGCATGTTCAATCTCATCAACCTCACAGAGTCCAGATATCATTGTATTGAATGTATACGCATCAGGTTTACACCCTTTCCTCGGCATCTCTTTGAAAACCTCGACGGCTTCGGAGATTCGATGTTCTTTACATAAAGCAGATATCAAACAGTTATAACCAGCAGTGTTGAGTTTCAACCCATCATCAGACATGTCTTTCAGAACATTGAATGCTTCATCTATCCTTCCTAGTTTACAGTAACCATCAAAGAAGGTTGTATAAGAGAATACATTAGGCTTACATCCTTTACTCCTCATATCCCCAAAAACCTCTAAAGCTAACCCTACAAGACCCTTCTTCAAGTAACCATAAATCAACGAGTTAAACGTGACAACATCAGGAACTAAACCATGACACCTTACCATCTCAGACAAAAGAGATTTAGCATCATCAAGCCTATCATGACTCACAAACCCATGAACAAGAGTGTTGAATATCACAATACTCGGCTTCGGAACTCTACTAAACAAATCTTTAGCAGCATCAACCCTCCCTATCTTACACAACCCATTCATCAAATAACCATACGTTATATCATCAGGACCAAACCCTCTCATCAACATCCTATTAACCATCTTCGCAGCTTCGTTAATCCTCTCAAACTTACATAAACAGAGTATAACATCATTAAACGTCTCAGCATCAGGCACACAACCCATCAAAAGCATCTCCTCAAGAAGCTGAAGCGCCTCGTTAACTCTCCTACACTTCGACAAAGAATGTATAAGCGTCTGGTAAATCACCGAGTTAGGCACACACCCATGCTTCGTCATGTCTCTAAGCAAAGCCAAACCCGAATCAACCTCGTTAACAGCGCAAAGCGCTTTCATCACAACGCCGAAAGTGAAAAGCGTCGGTGGGATTCTTCTGCTAAGCATATCGTCGAACACGTTAGCTGCAACTTTATAACACCCGCTAAAAACCAAAACTTCCAACACAACGTTGTAAGATTTGAAACTGGGTTCGCAGGAGAACACGTTCCTCATCTCTAGCAACAACCTCGTCGTCTGTCCGGGGAGATTAGACCTGCCGTAATCTCTCATTATCGAGATGAAAACCGATTCTTTAAAACAGAGTCCGTCTTGTTTCATCTGGAGTAAGAGTTTATCTATTGTGGCAAACTCTGATTCGGATCCGAGTTTGCGGATTAGGGTTTGGTAGGTTTCGAAGGAGTGTTTGTAACCGGTTTGGGAGGCTGTCCATGAGAAGAGAGCAAGTGATGTGGGGACGTCGAGAGGGAGCTCGAGGAGGTTGCAGAGCTGTGAAGGTGTGATCTTGGGGTGTGTGTTCTTGAGTGTGTCGAGATCGTAGGGTTTGAGAAGCTTCTCCCATTCGTTGGTTGAATCGGAGAAGCTTCTCCCACGGTGACGGGAGTGTGATCGTTTGCTCAAGCGGAGAGCAAGTTTTGATCTCGTGAGCATAATACTGAACGCTTTTACATTAATCAAAACTCTGAAAGACAATTTTTAGAGGTGAGACTAGAGAGTGAGAGGGAGAGAGAGGGGGAGAGAGATTGTCTGGTTCCGACAAAGAGCTATTTAAACCTTCTCGATTGTTAAGAAGGTTTTGAATAATCTCCTACTTATTAATCATAAATCATTTTTAATAACTAACTTTGTTTTAGTAAATTAATAACAATTTTGCCATTCTGCTGCATACATGGCAGCATCACACTCTCCTCAAAATATGATTAATGGGGGTTCTCATCAATACAAGAAATCGTCTCTTGACTTTTAACTAAAAGAATTAAAGAAATCGGCTTTTAAATATGTTATTACTAAAAAAAGTTACAACAATTGCCATTGAGACCCATAATTACATATTCCATTTGCATGTATTATTTTCATAATAGAATATTCTTATCATTTAAATTACAGTAATTTTTTAAAATTTTATATTTGATGTTTTGTTCATAAACATACGAATTTTTTTCCAGAGATTTATTCTCTGAATACTCCTCAGTTATTTATCTATGTGTGAATCGACCGTCCGATTCACACCTAGCGCAATTTCGAATGTAGGATAATTATCTTGCTCATAACTATAATAGAACACAAACTTTAATTTATTCAATCCCTTTATAAAAAATATTATATTCACTGGTTTGTTTTTTTATAAGTATGAGATATAATTTAGTTTATTAGGAAAAAATAATGTTAAAGAAAATCAAATATTTCCTTAATTGGTTTTGAATATTGTTTGAAGAAACTATTAGTACTAACACTCTTATTGTACTCATACTTTTCACTTTGTTAGTTTTGCTTCCATGTTTGAGGTCATGATATTTTGAAATCGCATGTTATTGTGAATTACCGATGTCGAACACCTATGATAAGAAGAAGTAACAAAATAGTTGGTACACAACTACCAGAAAAGAAAACACCAAAAAATAAACCATAATTTACAACTATTCTAATTTCAACAAAAATTGGTTGGATAATCTGAATTGGAGAAGAATCTCAGAAGGAAAAATAATCGGTTGAATTAAATTTTTGAAAATTTGTTTAAAAGGAGCATGTTGAGTTTTGCCCAAGGAACTCTAAATATTGAAGATGAATGAAGTTTGTTTATATTACCAACAAATGAGTTACATAGATAGAATCACTATTTTTTTATTTTTGACGTAGATAAGACCAAACGAATAGTTTCCAGCTTATCATTTCTTCTAAATCTAATTAATTTCCACTAATCATGGTCCAACAATGTGATACTTAAATATAATTCACAACCAAAATCTTCTGAAAATGTCTGATAAATTTAATTATATTCCTAAAACTTCCATTCCACACATTCGTGAATCATTACCTAGTTTATTTGTTTGTTTGTTAGGATCTCTTGTTGGGATATAGTTCAAATTGAGAAAATACTAAGTTTTTGATCCCAAAAAAGGAAATAACTGGGTTGATCACGCCAATTAAATTTTATTAGTTCAAATTGAGAAATTACTAAGTTTCTGAGCCCAAAACAAAAGAAATGACTAGATTGATCACTTCAGTTATATTTTGTTGGAGAACAAGCAGACATTGACATGTGTCTGCTTGGGTTTGGTTTGACTGATACGTATTTTCAGTATAACTAATGTTTGAGTCAAATTTTGTGCAGCTCTTTTCCAATTCAATTTCGATTGGATAGCTAATGTTTGTAATTGCTAAAAAAACTTTTTTCCTAAACTAATGAAATTAATGTTAGCCTCATGACTTGTTATGTTAGCATTCTGCCGAGATTACTGATTAATCTCATTATAAAAAATTATATTTTTTGATGGTCTTAGGAGGATTTTTTCTCTGCAGTCTTGATAACAATGCATATCATTATAGCCACCATGGCAGTAATGTCTTTGTGATGTCTCCAACATTAATTGGTTCCCTTCTAGCAAACATTTGATAGTAATCTTTGTGGTACTAACTTAATTTGAGTTATTATTGTAAGTTATACATTCATGTTCCTCGCTTTTCTATTTTTATCCCCATAATTTTTATTTTTGATAACATACCAAATCAACTTTGCATCTTGTTACTTCACTTTCTGTACAAAGAATGATCCGATCAAACCAATCAAGACATATCGATTTGTACATTTATGTGAGAAAAATTGTCAGATCATTCAGGTTTGGATTCAGGTTTGGGTTAAGTTAATTCAAATATTCCGTACTATACACATAAACCCATTTGAGTTTACTAATTTCCACGTTGAGTTCGGTTCGGTCTCGTTTGGTTTTAGTTCAGTTGAATCAAAAATTTAAATTTTTGATATTACAAGTCTTACTTGAATTATATTAATTTTTAGATCGAATTCAGTTCCTTTCAAATCAGTTCATGTTTATAAGTAATGCCTGAAATCACTAGAATATTTTTTTTTAAACTAATGAAACTAGCCAAAAATATTTATAATACATAAATTATTCAGACAACTAATTAAAATTAGCTCAGATAATTTCAAAGTTTTCGGAATAACAAAAAAAGAAATAACTACTAACATCTCTAAAATATTTACTTTAACATATGTAAGAACACACAATCATCTTGACAATACATAAGACACTGAGAGAACATAAACAATGAACAGAGAGTCTCAAAGACACAACATTCAAAACGTTATAGCAAGTAAGGAAACTAAAAATGGTTTTGCATTATTACAGACACTAAAATTAATCACATGAACATGACATCAAAATGGACCCACTTAAGTCATCATATGGACAAAAGAGAGTGTATGTAGGTCAGAGATAACCTTAGAGGGAGAGATTCATAGACCACGCGAGTATATGAGATAAAGACTTTGAATATATTGCCTTTTTGATTTCACCATCCACACTAAACCCATCAATGACCAGAAGAAAGTGACCTCAATTTCTTCTTTAACTTTTTGAAAATGCACAAGCATGTATACCTAAAGTAGTCCACTATATACAGCTAAAAAGGCTGGTGCAGATGATAGGGACCCTAAACCACTTCACACGTGAGAGAATCTTCAAGCCTTATCTGTCTGTTAGCTATCTTGTTTCCCATGCTGTCTCTTTTACAAACAAACTGGTGTGACTAGTGACTGGTGACTGGTTCTTAATCTCTGTAGAGAGTAAGTCTTGTTTCAGTAGCTTTAGGTAATCAATGGCTTCATCCAGAAGTAAGAGAGCTTCGTTTCCTTTTGCACCTGGAACTATGCTCTCGAGTATCTTCAGAGCTGTGCGGATCTTGTCTTTTCTTGACTGCTCATTGCTCAGACCAGAACCAGTGTCTCCTTTGCCCACAAGTGATGATGAGCCACTGATGTTTTCTACCTTATCTAGTAGCTTCTGCCTTTTACAAGGACTATCTATCTCTTCTGATTCCCTTTTGTTGCAAACTTGATAAGGAGAGTGAGCAGTGCTCATTACTTCATCATCACTCTCACAATCCTCATCATCATCTGAATACAGCAATGCATTGATCTCCTCAGTGTCTTCATGCATTTCAGACTCCTCCACACCGTGTTGTAACTCAGAGAGTTTAACTGGTTCTGCAGTTAGGGGAAATGGACAGTGTAATAGACGAGTCTGGTTTCCTGACTGATCTAATATCATGAGTCCTTTCTGTGATCCTCCATGTGGAGTAGTAGTTGTAGCAGCAGCAGCAGCAGCGCACCAAGACCTCATGTCAGAGAGCGAGAATCGTTTCCCACAAGACTCCTTATCATGATGACTCCACAGTAAAGACTTGAATGGTGGTGGCTGCAAACAGTTGGCCTGAAGCTCAGCTGCATCAGAGAGAGGAACTCCAGGAGTAAATTCAAGAGGCATGCCCTTGGAGTTTTGACTCAAGGTAACTTCAAAGACTACAAATACTGCAGGACAAAAGACAAAGGCAACTATCAGCTCAAGAAAGATAAACTGAACAATTATATAAGAGTGAAAATTGAGTTGACATACAGATTGTTAAGTTGCTGCTCAATCAGGTGAATGCAATAATTCTTTGTAACCTTAACGAAGTAAGTAGTGAAACAAAATACAGCGGAAAATCACAAAGAAACTACGTGACTGGTTTGAGTAGAAGTCTGAAGTATTCAGCCTGAAACACACAAATGAAACCACACAATCATAAGTGTTAGAAGAGTAAAACTACTATAGCTTAAAAGTATTATATGTGATACATACCTGGCAATTATCCATGGGTTGAAAGCATGCAATAAATCTAACTACAATGGTTGGTCTGTTAGCGTCTCCTGTCTCGTATTTCAATGCTCTAAATCTTGTCTTACCAGGTGACTGACACACCATAACTTTCAGAAAAAATCTTGAATGAAAAGCAGAGAAGACAAAAGGAGCTCGTCGTCTAGCTGATTCTTTGCTCACAATGGTACACATAGATATGTTGGGAACCCATTTTTTTTTTTTAAAAAAGAGAGGATGATTAAGAAAGAAGAAGAATTTAGAGTACTGAGGATTGATTAAAGAAAGAGATTTATAGAATGACACTGCAATAGAGATTCAAGCTCACAACTTTGCGGTATATAGTGAACAAACAACACATACTGTTTCTCTTTTCTCCTCTTATTACACTAAAACTTGATCCTTATCATCCACTGCTACTTTTCAAATCTGTAAGAAACATATGATCAAACACAACATGAGCTAAAACACAAGAACTGTACAAGGAACAGAGCGAATCATAACCATCTATACAGTTGTACTTGTTAGGTTCACAGCTACACAAACCACATTGTTCTAAGCTAAATTCAGACTTAAACTAACGAAAAAAATCTAAATTATGAAGGATTTAAACAGGTTTTAACCACTTACGAACAGAGACGATAAGAGCAAAAAACAGAGAAAGATTGAGTTTTGATACCTAAGGGAGATGAAAGAGAGGAACTTTGATGTTGGGTCAGATCCAGAGAGAAGCTTTTTTTGTTGTTGTGTGTGTTGGTTAGTTGAATGAATCAATGGAGAAGGAAAGGAGATAATAAGAGAGAAGATGAAAGTGACCAACGGGCAGAGCAATAATGTGACAAGCACAAACGCAAGTAAGTGGTAATGAAGGCTTTTATAAACATGTTTTAAATGACGGTATTGCCCTTTTATCATTTCTTTTTACCAAAACATCTGTTACTTTATGTGTATGAAACTAAATTTATTTCATTTCGGTTAGGTGGTTCCGGTTTGAATTAGGTTTTGTTTAAGGATGAGATAAATTAATAAGCAAATATTTTATTTTTATACCTCTGTATATATATATATTTTTTTTTGTTGGACAATACCTCTATATATTTTTAAAATTGATATTCTAGGTTTTTTCACATAATACTAAAAAAAACTAAATACATGCTTTTGTTTATACATTTTCCATTTTGTGTTTTGATTAGTTTAATTTTATTTACTATTCTTATTTTCTATATTATAAAATTTTATTTATTTTGAGCTCAAATCATTAATTATATTTTAAAATATTATTCTTTTAAATAATTAACATAACACCCCTGTATCAACATGTTTATTGACGTTTTTGTCTACCAAACCACCCCCACCTCATGTGTATTATTAACTAAGTGATAATCACTCAACTTGAAGTTTATTTCATTTCGGAATTGGTTTGAGGTAAAAAAAATTAATAAGCAAATACTTATTTTTTATATTTCTTATCTTTTAAAGGGAATTAAATTGACGCACATGTTACACATTTTGAACTGAGAATATAATTTTGACTATACAAAGAAAAAGAAATGTTACTTAGAAACTAATCTTGTAGTAATTAAAAGAATGGTTATTGGTGCTTTGCTTGGAAGAAATGGGGACAAGGGGGACGGACGTGTATATACGTAATTATGGTATCTGTATGATGACAAAGTCTCACGGTCCATAATTTCAGGTTTATCATCCTTTATCATTAATTAATACTAATATTATTTTCTCTTAATAATACTCTGTTGATTGTTTGTTAAAGTAAAAGTCCATACTTTTTTCTCTTTTAATTTTTAGTGAAAGCTAAGTTAGTGAAAGTATGCTCAAGCTTTTATGTTCTTAATCAACTCTATATTCTAATACATTTGTTCAGGTGCGTGTTTGTGTGTTTCAAACACCCATTGTGATGGAAAAATAGTAAAAGCTAACTACTTTTTTTTGTTTGTTTTATTTTAATTAACAATTTAGCATCAGGCTTGCTTATGCAACGCCAAAATTAGCTCAATACTTTTTGATGTATTTTTATTAATATCATGTAGACTTCATTTCTTTTGTCATAAAAGTCTAGTACTGTGATTGGTGTGGGT